GATGGACTTTCTGAAGTGAATTGTTATATCTGCATAGGCTATCAACACCAGTTTTCCTTAACCAGATATTCTGCCATATTATTCTCTAATTAGACATTTCAAAGGAGTGTTTCACTTGAAGTGAAGTGAAACACTCCTTTAAAAATTTGCACAGCCCTATATTGTTAGCTAGATGTTTATTAATAAAGTCCAGATGTTAGGAGATCCCACCCTAATTACCATGGTGAGCCTGAATAACAGCAAGGAGTAAATGCCATGACATCTGCTCACAAAGAGCTACCTTTATGGGCCAGATCTTAGAGACCCTCCACTCCCCCCCCACCTCTAGGAATGCTCACCCTAGAGCAGGGGTAGGCATGCTTGCTCAGGAAGTCTGGGAGTTGAAGTTCACAAGTCATAAAAGACCCAAGGTTGCTTACTCCTGCCCTAGAGCATCCGGAAAAATTATGCAAAAGGAAATTGAACCTTTAGATTGGATAAAATTGGATAATTGCACATTAGAACTTGACTTGATGCCAGGTCCCTGTATTTAATATTTCAATGTTTTAATGTTTATAATTTTAATATGATTTTATACGTTGTTTTAATTTTGGGGAGCCACCCCGAGAGATGGTTAGAAGATGGGTGGCTATTTAAATACTTTAGATAAATAAATAAATGAATAAGGAGAAGAAAAGAACATACAGACAATGGGAAATTCACAGAAAATTACACAGCTGTTTGTTTTGTAAAGCTTCTGGTGGCTAAGCACAAGCTGTGCTGGAGGAGAAAGTAGTCAGAAAATAATTAGCCTATTAATATCAGAGCAGAGTGCTGGTTACCTTGCAGCTTCTGCCTGTTTTATTTCTCCCTGGCATAGAAAAAAGAACTCCTAAAGGGATGCCTGCATTTATTAATTTATGTGCTACATTTCACTTGTTTTTACTGGAAATATTGAAAAATCAACTGCAATCTAACATAGTCAATTCTTCTATCACTGTCAAGACACAGTATTCTGCAGGTATGTGTTCTGCTAACGGCTGGATTTGGTGGAATAGAGATAAATGTTGAAATAATCCATTGGTAGCATTGAAACAAAACAATTTCCAGGTTTATTAATTGCTGTTTCTACAATTTGTACATTATTTGTCATCATTCCTTCTGCATATCTAAAAAACAAATTACTATTCCTTTGTCTCATCCCATTGTTCTAATCATAAAGAAATATAACCACTTCTTTTCATTTTTCTTAGCTTAGTTTTTCACTACAATAGACTATTTCTCTTTAGGATTCCAGCCTGACAGCCTTCTTCATCCCATCCCATCCCATCCTATTTTTTTTCACCCTCTCAGTTTTTGCAAAGCTGAGTTCCCTCAAGCTATTTGATGCCTTCCCTCCATATCTAAATCTAGATGTCCAATATGTCCATGCATCTAATGCCAAAGGCACTTTCGCTATGATAAAGCTATGTTTAAACTTTTTTTCCCATGAATAAAATGAGTCTAATAATGAGCTGTCTCAGAAAGTACTAGTTAGGATAAATACACACACAGAAAGAATATAAAGTAAACTTAAGGATAGATAATAGTTCAATAACAGCAGATCAAATTGCTGCAAATGAATGAAAATGACAATGGGGATTTGTGCTATTCAAGCAGTGAAATTAGGACATATTTGCACAAACAACAAACCAATGAATATCCTGTACATACAATGTTCTGGCAGAGGAAGCTTATCCTAGGATGATTTGTGAACTGTTTGAAATGTGAGATCTGCCATGCTATTTTATTCTTTGAAGAATAATTATTAGATTTTTGCTTATATGTTTAAGTACAGAAGATCTGCAACTCAGTCAAGGCATTATACTATAGTGAATACAGCAAACAAATAACCTTTTTAGATTCTGGATTGGTTTTTATTTATCTTGACAGTGATGTCACCTTGAGTATATTACTTTATAATGGATCTGTGGATTATGGGTGTGGCTTTCACAAGGATGTTCTTTGATTGGTATTGATGTAGGAAGCTAAAGAATCAGAAATAATCCTCTTTTTTAATAGAATTAGATAATGACTCATGGTTGTGAAACCAATCGGTGTTTTCTTTGGCTTCTCTATACAGATCAAATTGATCAAAGACTTTTTCAAAAGAAAACAAAGAAAACTTTTTTACTGGGGAAAATGTGTGTGTGTGTTTGTGTGTGTATGTATGTGTGTGTGTGTGCATGCGTGCATGTGCGCGCGCACGTGTGTAAGTGTAAACAGAAGAAAATCTGTATCAGCAGATTACAGCTGATACCTTATTACATATATTACAAAAATAATTACAAAAGAGTCCCAAAACTACTTGACCTGAATATTCTGAATATTTGAAGGACCATTTTTTCCTCAGTCATATCTTCCCAATTTGCCAGTGCAAGGAGCCAGGGAATGCTATGGGTATTCTCTCTTAAGGAGATTCATCTAGCAGGGCCAAAAAGAAGAACCTTCTCCATCCCCATGAAATATCATCTCTACAGAGATAAAATTGCTCCCCACCATTTTGACATTGTTTTGCAAGGCCCTGAGAACTTGTTTTGCCAATGGACCTGGGGACCCCAGAGTGGGATGAATCCATCAAATGGCTCATTTGATTGTTGTTGCCAGGTGGGTAGGGATTATTGCTTTTTATTGGTTTTTTTAATTGGGTTTTTAATCCCTGTAAGCTACCCAGGGTAACTGAGAGTGAGCTGGGCAGCCTATATAAATTATAAATAAATAAATAACTTGAGAGAGGAAGAAAGCAAACTGGGCATTAACATATAATAAATATTGTGGTGATGTCTATTAAAATGACCTCTATGATATGAATTTGCCATAATGCTATAAGTCATGATGGAGAGTGATGCAGTTCCTCTCTCAAAATTTGGATCCATCTCCTGTTGCCTGAAGCTTGCTCTTTTCTCCAGTTCTGCTCCTTTTCTATTCAGTTCCTCTAGTTTCTTCTTGTCTGCTTTTCAATACTCTTTGTTAATATTTATGGGTGACCAGGCAATGTTGATTATTTTTAATTTAGTATATTTTAATCTTCCCCTTACTTCTCTGACTATCTTTCTTCTGTGATCATCTATTTTTCCATCTTTTATCTGTGCTCTTTTCATTTTTATTTTTTTTAATAAGTTTTACTTTTTACGTAGCTGCTTTTTTCCCGGTCCTCTATTTTTCCTCAATGGAATTATTTATACTTGTTTTTAATATCTATTTCTTTATGAACTCTCATACATTTTGAGCATCTGTTCCCATTTCCCATCGAGCATCTGTTCCCATTAACTTTTCCATTTATCACTTCTGATAATAAACTTATCAGAGCAATAAGTTTATTAAAGTCCATTTTTAAAAGTATAAGATATGTATTTTAGGAATTCAGCTTTGATTATGTGCCATCAAGTCGGTATTGACTCTTAGCCATCACGCAATTTCTCTAAAAGTACTCCTGAATTATATGATCATTTTTCCCCAAGTTCCTTCTCCTACTTCTATTTATTTGGCTAAAATGGATTATGGATTAGTATTTATATAAATATTAAGTCAAGGATAATATGATCTACCAAACCAGTCAGTATATAGCTAATAAGTCAAATCAATATTTTAAGATTCCATCATACTTAACATTTCTTTAATTAAAAAGAAAGAAGATTTCTACAGATCATGTTTGCAAATTGTGCTTTTTGTAATTCATAATTGCTTTTCTATTTAAAAAACAGCCCTATTTATTAACTTCCAATATATTTATTGGCCTAACATTCTTATGCATATATCTCCTCTGTCCCCACAAAGTAAACAGACTTCTAATTTGCTAATGAAATAAATGTATGTTTCTCCAATTTACACATTTTTTAAAATTAAAATATAATCATTCTACTTTGAAACATGTTTGTTTTCATTGTAGAATTTAATATCATATATTGTAGAAAGAAGAAAGGGTCAAACAAAAAGCTTCTAAGGTTACATCATTTACAGAAAAAGACAGAATCGTGTTTTAAAAATAGTCCTTTTTTCTTATTTAACTTTAAGAAAGAATCCATAATCTATTTAGTACCAAGGATTTAGGAATAACAGTTTTAAATTAAATGACTGATTAAGCAATTGGATTGGAAACAGTTTTATGGTGCAACTTATTTTGATTAATAAATCTGAGTTTGAAGATTCAAACTTTTGATTAGTTTCGCTAAATTTCCATAAAAATTAAGAAAACATAAATCATGAGTGATTAATTAACAGAATTCTACCACCACTCAACCCATGTTTTTCCTCAGACAGGACTGGTCCATTTGCAGCCCATGGACTGCCTGTAGCTCCCAGAAGCTCTTTTTGAATAGTGAGGTGAAATCTTCCATTTTCCCTTTGAAACCAGCCTTAGCCACGGTGGGGCATGGAGCCAGTGAATTTATAGCAGTAAGAATATAGTAATAGCAAACTATTTCTTTGCTGGGAAGATAAATGTCATAACTTCCCTTTTGTCATATTTAACTTTTGAAACTAAGGAGAAAGCAATGTGTGTGGAGTGACATGGATTGGATGTGTGGCTAAGTGCAGTGCATGACAGGGCTAGGCATGCTCAAGGGCACGCCTGAGAGGGTTTGCCCAATATCTGGGGCAGTTCATGGATCCAAACTTCTGCCCATCCCTTGCCACAAGGGAAACATTGAGGACATCATTCAGTGAGGCAAATGGTTTTAACACAAGTGCCCAAATATGCAACTAACGAAGAAACAAAGAGCTTTCTGTTCTTTTAACTGAATTAGAAAATAAGAAATTAACATGCTTGAAATCATTTTTTAGAGCAGATTTCTCTTTCTAAATCAACCTTTTTTGCCCTCCACTTATGGTAGAAATTAGAAAAATAGTGGATTGGGAATGATAACTTTAAAGTGACAGCAAAGAATTTTCTTCTCTTTCAGGAAGACAATTTTTAAAATCATTTTTTCTTTCTTTCTTTTTGTCATTACAAACATAACATGCCATTTATTTCATGGCTGACTCTACATCTTCTCTTCTCTTTCATCAACATGGGAGGATACTACTTTTCCATCCACCATCTCTTCGACCACAGTCTTGATCCTCAGAGTTTTATTCTTTTCTGGAAATAAGGATAGAAAAACTATGTCATTCAACAAGCAATAATATGACATCACTGCTGGTATGACTAATATAGCATATTTTTTAACTTGTTCTTCTGAAGATTTCTGTTAATGTCACATCATATTATGATTGGAATATAATGGAAATGAAAGCTGAGCCTCTTGAACAACAATTTTCATGGCTAAATACAGATGTAAATATAAATCTATTAAATCTATTTAGAGCTATAAAGATTGAGATTCAAAGGGATCAAGGGCAGAGAAAGGAATTCCAAGCAGAGAGGTGAGCCCCAAAAGGGACCTGGTAACTTGGGGGTTGGACATGGTCATTTCTCCAGAAGGGAAACCTGCTTCCTAGCCTTATAACTTGATGAGCCAAAAGAGGGTTTCTGGATTACAAGGTCAGCATGGACGTCCAGGGCTTCCAGGAATGGAAATTGTGCCTGTCTTTGTTCAGCCCTATTTAACCCAGTTCAACCCTGAGCTACAAATCCCTTTTTTTCCTCCCCAATTTTTTTTAATGTGGAGAATTGAAAAAAAAAGCTTTTCTACTGCAGAGATCTGTTTCCCAGGAAGATGCCAAAATTAGTTTTGATGTACACTTGTTTATGAGATGAGAAGCTATATAAATGAGATAGATAAATATCAGCCTGAATAGCCTACCTCTAGAATAGTGTTTCTCAATCTTAGCAACTGTAAAATGTATGGACTTCAATTCCCAGAATTTCCCAGCCAGCACCCCAACTGGGGAATCTTGGAATTGACATACACATATTTTAAAATTTACATTATAGCTTCCTGGAAGCTACGTATGTATGCTCCATTTCTTATCAAGAGAAGAATGATCTAATGTCACTTTGATGCCTCCACATTTCAGTGCTCAGACGATTTGACTGGTCACATAAACAGATTGATGTTTTTTTTTTATCCTTAGTATGATAGTATTTTAGGCTTTATGCTACATTTTTTCATAGATCAGGCACACCATAAAAGAGTATTATTCCTTCCAGTGAAATAGTATCTTCTACTAGAATGTGCTGAGATGTACAAACTTACTCTAGAAATAAAAGACAAGGAAGTTACAGAATTTTATGAGATATGGGACAGGTATTACAATTGGTTAGAATTGAGGAATAAAAAAGTATGAGAAGTAATTAAGTGTTAAGAAAAAAGAAAAATGTACTTTGTATTTTGTTTTTTATAAAGAGAAAAATAAAAAATAAAAATTTAATAATAATAATAATAATAATAATAATAATAATAATAAATAGTATCTTCAATGGAAAAAACACAAAAGTGGTGAATCCTTCAGTGAGGAAAGGGTTGGGAACATGCCCTTACCTTTTTCAGCTTCTTTGCTCGTCTCTAAATCTGAAGCAATCATTCTGTTAAAAAAAAAGTGTATTGTCAGTCTCCTGGTTTCATTTTAAGGTAGCCTTTACAAACCCTTTAAGGTGCTGTTCGGATATCTTGGATTACAGCTCCCAAAATGTCTGAGCCTTACAGCATGGCTCAAATGGGCATTGATTCAGCAATGGCCATTTAAAGGAATTAAATGACATAGTATTTGTTAAGTCCTAGTTCTTCATTTCCATTTGCCTAGGACAATTTCTCAACCTTGGCAACTTGAAGATACATGGACGTGAACTCTCAGAATTCCACAGGTTGAGAAACACGGGCCTGTGACTTTGGACAGAGCAAATGTCTTTCAACAAATCAAAATGCACAATATTTGTTTTGGAGATGAGCTATATGAGTTTCTTCAGTCATCAGAAAAATGTGACTCCCCCACCCCCACCCCCAAAATTACCTAGCATCATTTTCTAGCAAATTGTATATTGGTTTGTAAAACCAGTTTTACCCATTTTGTTTATAGCATCCTTTTCACTAGGTAACGGTTTTCTGCTAACTTTCCCAGCTATGTTTCTCTGATCTGAATTATTTACCTCCAATCCTCCCCTTCCAGGAGACGACGATAAGTGGAAATCTCTGCTTCTAGTTTGACTTTAATGTCCAAGAGGATGCTGTATTCCATACTCTGTTGCTCCATGTCACTCCGCAGCTGCATTAGTTGGGCCTCGATGTTTCCAATGGCCATTTGAATTTGAGTCAATATAGTTCTGTAATGAGCTTCAATTTCTGCCAGTGCATTCTCTCGTTCAGTTTTCTAGAGGAATAAATCAGATATATAGTGGGACAGGTACTGGCACTAACTAGAATTTGGCCTCCAGAGTGAAGGGTGTCAATTTGTGAAAATTTTCATTAAAATTTGCTTCTCTCTACCTGCTCAGCAACTGTACATGCTCATGATTTAACAATGCTATTAGTTTTGATAAAAGTTGTAAAAGAGTGAGACTCTTGTTTCTTTGATCAATATAAGAAGCCTTACCCTCAGTCTCAAAGGCTTTATTTAATCTTATTAAAATCAGTATATAGCTAAACCTGATCAAATTTGTTTGTTTGTTTATATTTCATATTTCCTATCACTATCACATATTACTTAGTGTATAATCCCTGATTTTCTGAAACTATTTCTGAATAATAAAAGTTTCAACTTGCTTGCTATTTTACCAACTAACTTCAAATGAAGTAAACATTGGGGAACCTATTATTGGAGGAAACTTTAGAAATCAGTGGTGGTCCCTACATTATTACATGATGAATCAAATATATTTTTAATACAAGGGGAACATAATTTATGGACTTTCCAGTGGTTCTATGCTTTCCAAAAATTGCCATTGCGTAAATATAAAAATTATAATTAAATAGCTGGGGAGAAATTTTTAAAAATTACACATTACATTAAATTCAGAGGTAAAGGATCAGCAACTTTATGTATTTTAATTATCGGACTTTACCCAGCTTAATTGAGATCGGAGTTCAATCTCCAGACTTTGGAGTGTATTCCTCCGGTCTGTAATCTCACTTCTGTGTGTTTCAAGTTGATAGGTAGTTGTGGTGACTTCCTCATTCAATTGTTCAATCTGAAGTGCAAAGAAAACTTTTAAAACATTCAGTGAATAAAAGGCAAATGGTACAGTGTGCAGATATTAGATGATTAATTAGAGGTTTAAAATATTTCCATTGATATAGAGAGATGCTTCTGATAAATCCTAAGTGTATCTTGTTAATATCTGCACAGTTAAGGGAATACAAAAATAATAAATACCACAGCTGCTACTACTACCTGATTATAAGAACTGAAAAGGGTATTTTAGAATTAGATCAGGTTAGTTTATATCAGAATTCATAACACTCAGTATTTTAAATGCCTTAGTTCCAACATCATCATTCTAACCTTATTCTAAAATATATCTATGGATACAAACAAATACTATGTTCACAGGCATACTTTTCCTCTTCCACCCATTCCTTAAATCTGAAGAAAAATGCTGCATAAATTTTTAAAAAGTATTTGAATTTCAAATGTGTTGATCCAAATAAAGAAGTCTCTCTGCATTTTTCTACATGGGGCCAATGTGCTTAATAAGGCTTCAGGGAAATTTAGCTTGAATTTCCAGTTTGTGAACAATTAATAGCTTGTTTTACAGATGAGTTGCAGGAAGAAACACAAACAAAACTGTAATAAAGTTTCTGTAGTTTGTAAAGTATTAAATATACAAGCATCACCAGTTTATCAAACCGATCCTTAGCCTCTTGACGGTTCTTTTCAGCCAGGATTTCATATTGCTGACGCATGTTTTCCATCATTTGGGCTAGATCAATGCCTGGAGCAGCATCTACCTCCACAGAAACATTCCCACTCAGCTGTCCACGTAATCTTGCTGTTTCCTATAATTGTTTACAAAAATGATTAATTAAATCTATTGCCAATTCAAAAAATGTATTCTTATCATTAAAGTATCTTGAGCTATAAATTTGGCTTATTAGCTAAGTAGCAATCCTACCATCACATAGAATTCCTAAAGAAACTGGGATTGAAATAGATTCTTTCTAACTCTCAATAGCCAGTTTAAAAGAAATTATGAAATTACAAAGAAACATTAGAACCGTAATTGAATTGCAGATGTAAAGCAGATTATAGAACCTGCTGATTTCCAGAAACTTTAACTTGTCCGTCATGGGTCATTGCTTATGCTATCTGGGAAAGATGAGAACTGAAGATGTCTCAGAAACACAAGGAGGTTAATCCAGTGGTGGGATTCAAATATGTGAACAACCGGTTCTCTGTGTGGATGCCGCTTCTGGAAGTCCATTCTGGGCCTGGGCAAGAAAAAATTAGCTACTGGTTCTGCCAAAGTGGTGGGAACCAGCTGAATCCTACCACTGGGTTGATCACTGTTACAAAATATCCTAGTTTACAGAGAGCAGTGCTTTTTTGGAATGGCTTTCAATCCTGTATGTGCTTTGTTTGAAAATATGTTCAGTCCAAGATAAAGAACCATGAAAAGAGCCATGAGGCAAGGCTTTGAAATGTAGAGTTAGTACATTCAGAGTTATTCCATGAATAGCTAGCTGAGGAAAGCCAAAGGTCACCTACTGTAGGTCTCAGTCAATAAATACCCCATGATTGTGAGACAATATCACTTCTGATGGCTAAATACTGTTGTTTTTCCCAATATTTTTCCTGTGGCCTACAAAAGCTATTAATTCTATAACCCTTCTTCATTCACTAGGCTATATAGTCTAATTCACTTCTTCATTCACTGGGCCATATAGCCCAATATATTAAACTATTCTGGGCTGCTAGATAATAATTAGCTCATAGTAAAAAGTTAGAGTATTTATTTCCTTCTGCTCTCATCTTGATTTAATTATCTGGATTTCTGCAGTCACATCTGAAAGTCCTCATGCACAAAATGGTGTTCTGTGGTGATTCTGACTAATATAGTTCTCTCTCTCTTTGTGTGTGTGTTTTCCTGGCTTAATTCTACCATATGTGTTAAAACAAAGAAATCTGTAGCTTCTATAGATCAATAGTTTGTAAAAACAAACTGTAGAACAGGGGTGTCAAACTGCCGGCCCGCGGGCTGATTGGATCGTGTGGAGGCCGCGGCCACCCCAGCTCCGGCAATGCAACACATCGCAACATGTTACGTGACGCAGCGAGTTTGATACCCGTGCTGTAGGAGGAACATTCATAAGTCTTTGATTCAGTTGGTGATGTTTTCTTACCTCATCATGTTGTTTCCTGAGGTAAGCCAATTCTTCTTTTAGACTTTCAATCTGTTGCTCCAAATCAGTCCTAACTAGTGTGAGGTCATCAATTAGTCCCTGTAATCCTGTGATGTCATATTCCACACTTAGTCGCAGGCCCAACTCAGTTTCATATCTATTTATTTTTAGAAAAATATGTAACAAGTTAGGATTATTGCAAAATAATCCATTTCTTCACTACTTCCATTTTAGTTTTACATATGATCAGCTTCTTAATAATAGTTTAATTTCAAATTCTGCTTTCTGATGTCTTTGGAGTAGATCCTCCCAAACAATTGTTACTTTCTAAAGAGAAACTCTTTTTACAAGACTGTTTAATCTTGTAATCATTTTCTAAGTATTAAGGCGTCACAAATACATTGTTGGAATTGTTACTAAGTTTTGGTCATGGGCTTCAGCAGCAACAGCAGTCAATAACATTAAAATGGAGGGTGTGACTGGGTGGTTAAAGCCCTGTTCCTTTAAACAACAATCACATACTCTCACCTGCCATTGTGATGTTGTTGATCAACCCTGTAGATGTTTTACTTATGGTGTAATTTAATCTGTTTAAAGAAAGCTTTATTTCAGTGTGAATTCAATTTTGAATGCTTTGTAGGTTTTTTCCCAAAGCTATTTTGAGCAAAATACAAAAAAGAAAAAAAGAAAAGAAAAAGAAAGGAAAAAAAAAACCCCAACCCAGAAGCATATTTTTTTTTAACCTTGGACTACTCCCTTGGAAATATCTAGATGTAGTCTGCTGAAAGGCAGTATTGGTCAAATCTGTTATAATGTGTTTTCTTTAGATTGCTCTTTAAGCACATCAACTCTTCAACATTTCAGATACATTTAAAAAAGTCTAGAAGTCAAATTTTGTGGCATCTCTTAACATAGGAGATACAGGGACAAAAATTCTGAGAATACACTATGGCACATTTTGGGCAGAAATAGCAAAGCTTGCAAAACTACTTTTATTTTGAAGTCATACTAGAAGGACATGATTTGGATCTGAAAAAGAATAAACTGATTGGCTTGGGATACTTTATCCTTCCACACTACTCACTGAAGGCTCTTTTCCCATGACTTACTTGAAGAGGCAGAAAATTATACTGACTACAATCTGATACTTCCGCTGTTGCTTCTTATCCTGTCTATTCTGACATTCTGCTGAATGATGATGACCCAATTTGTATTGTACTGCACTTATTAAACAAAGTAATTGGTTTATTTGGTACCAGTTAGTATCAATTGGTAACTGGCAATTTAAAATGTATGTTCTTCAATTTCCCAGCCAGTATGCTTCTGGGGGATTCTAGAGATTGAAGTTCATACATCTTAAAATTACCAAGTTTGAAAAAAACCCCACTGGTTTAAACCTTTGGGCTTTGTTACCCTTTATCTTATAAATATTACCAACTAGTAGGACATTGCCTATTGACCCTATTCCTACTGTGATTGAAAGATGATTTCATCAGATGGCTAAACCTGTAAGTTTAGCCATCTGTCAAAACCCTTGTCTACCCACACCTCACTTAGTTACTGGAGTTCGTGGAAAATTGGGAAAGCCTGGCTCTTTCAAACCTGCCGTTTTCTGGAAACTATGGACCAGCTATTTGAAAACCTTATTTTGAGCACAGGTAACCTATTGTTAGTAGAAGCCTGCTAGACAGCTGAGGATCTGGGGGGCGGGGGGGGGGGGAAGAACTGCCTGATAAAGTGGGAGAAATAGTTCTCTCTAAAATTACACTCCAGCTTTACTGCATGTTTGGAACATTGCCAGATACAGTGGCAGCTGTATGCCCTACTCTTTCTCTCCTAGAAAAAAAAGAGAGGGGTAAATAGTAAATAGAATAGATATGCCCCTGGTAGCACAAAATGACCAATAAGGTCAAGGCCATCTTGTCCTTTTGTTGGTCATTTCATTATGCTACTACCAATATTGGCATTGATGGTTCAGCAGATTATACACACTAAAACTCACTGGTTGTTGTTGGATTGAGAAGAAAATAGTGTTGGGATATCAGCATAATTCACTATGATTAAAATCCATCATTCTTTCAGTGGCACATTGTTTAAAGTTTTTATATTAAACATACCTTCCTTCCCTCTGAAAATATTTGGTAATTAAATCATCCTGAAGATGTTGATTTCTTTCTATATTTTTAGAATACATACTTTACTCTGAAATCATCAGCAGCCAACTTGGAATTGTCAATTTGCAGTATGATCCTGGTGTTATCTTCTCGGGCTTCGGTAATCTGAGAAAGAATAAAATATAAGAAAGCAAGGCATTATTCTTTTGGTTTGGGTCCATAGGATAATTAACTAGAAGCTTAATATTTTGAAAAAAAAACTTGAATACTATAAGTATTCAAGAAAGCCACTTTTTCAACTGGTTTTCAAGCTTTATCTAAAAAAGTTTCCTTTTCAGGTTGCGTATTTGGGCACTCATTTGGAAATATTTAGAAGTTTCCTTAAATATCATTCTCCTGAAGATGAACTATTACTTGGCTATTAATTCCATATATATTGGTAATGGAATATATTTTCCACTGCACTTGAAGGCTTTAGCTTAAGAGACACAAAGCTATAATAGTTGTTGCCTATATATAAAATAAAAATCATCATCGAAGCAAAGCCTTCGGTAGTACCCACATATTTTACAGTCAATGAAAGAAATATTTCTTAAATTATGTTTATTTGGGATGCCCTCCTATATAATCCATTCCACTCTGATTAGCTGTAAATCAGGAGTTGAGAAATTTATGGTAGTATGCAGCACTAGTTATTCCCTATCTAGCCATCCTCGTGTTAGCAAAATGTCATGGATCATCTCTGAGAATGGAACTTCTATCCATCTATCCATCCATCATCACAAGAATAAGTATTTGAGTACTGTAAAATCTCAAAGCAATTTGTAACCCATATTATAAAATATTTATATAAAACAGGAGAATCTAACAAAAAGATAAAAAGTCTGCTGGATGATTGGTTCTCCCAGCTTAGGCTTCAGCTTTACCTGTCCTATTTTCTGGCAATAAATCTTTTCTGTACTTTTTAGAAACTTTCTACTGAATCAACAGGTCTATTCTAGTTCACTACCTCTTTCTCATTTCAAACATCTTTCAATCTGCAGGTGATTAAACTGCAGATTTAAAATAAATTTGACTCTCTCTGTCTTAACATCTGTACAGGAATTCCTTGCTGAAAGAAGGGCAAGAGTGCCTATGCTAAAGATCAAATCAGATTTTTATTTCAGTTAGTTTTTCCAAATAGTGATAAGATTATCAAGGCTATAGAAACTGTAGTAACATATAGATTGCCTCTCCCATTACTTGAGTAAATAGTACCACCCAGATAATGACCTACAATAGATTTACTAAGAGATACAAAGACCTGCCAAAGCAGGAGAACCATTTGGCTTAAAAATAAACCTGAAAAAGAGTTAGTTTATGTTTAATAAATTCACCAAAGAAAGAAAAAAAATTATATCTGAAAAAGAACTAGATGTAATAGACCACTATGTAGACCTTGGTCAATGGATCTCAATGAAAGGTGATACAATAAAAGAAATTGAATGGCATATTAAATGTGATTGGCAGGCGTTTGGCAAGCTAAACATAATTTTCAAGAACAACTTCCCCCTATGCCTGAAGAGAAAAGTTTTCGATCGGTGTGTGCTACCTGCTCTAACCTATGCCAGTGAAAAACTACGAGTGGTGCAAAAAGCCATGGAAAGATACATGCTTGTCATTACAACCAGATAGAAAGACCTGTACATGGATTAGAGAACAAACGAAAGCATATGATATCATCAAGAGAGTAAAAGAATGGAAAAGGAAATGGGCTGGTCACATAGCAAGAAGAACTGATGGCAGGTGGACCAAGGCAGTCATAGAATGGATCCCACTTGATAAAAAGAGTCCACAAAAGAGACCTAAAACAAGATGGATCAACAACATCAGCAAGTTTTGCAGGCCCAATTGGCAAAAGAAAGCTCAGGACTATATTGGTTGAAAACATGCGGAAGCAACCTTCATCCTGCAGTGGATAGACAATGGCTGAAACGATGATGATTTGAATATAATGTCATGAAAGAGATTAGAATAGCTGCAGAATGGTTACAAGAAAAGTATAACGAATTAATTAAAAATCTCACACATAAGGCATTTCTCATCACTTGGACTTTTAAGTAAAAATTAAATAAATAAATGTTTTGCAGAGTTTAATTGCAGCTAGTAACTAGCATTGTAATACTAGTTTCACTCTTATTTTATTATAATGGAATATTTATTATTGCCTGTTGAATAAACAAGTGACACTTACTATGAGTTCCTGGCATTATTTTTTGTTATCCTAATACATTTTAATTATTGTTAATTATTTCATTTTTTCATATCAATATTTTCTCATTGGGAAAAAAAATTACAGCATCTCTCCAAGAATGTTCTTGCCAACCCACTGATTGGTTGGCACTGCACATTTGTTTTAATTGCCATTTGAAGAAAAGGTAACACTGAAAAAAATCCAATAGTCTGGAAATAATGTCTGCATGGACCACAAAGCAAGCAAGCATGGGAAATGGTTATATGTCAAGGTTGATAGATAGCAACCAAGAATGGAATGGTTGCTAACCTGGTAAATACCCTCACCCACCTTTCAGTAGTTCAACATCTTTGGAAAGAATGTAAGATGGCTATAATGCAAGATAATTAGAAAATAAAAAGTTTGATACTTGCCATACTAGCCCTAGGGTAACTAGACATGCAACAATTAGTGTGCTAGAGCCTCTACCCCACTTTTTCTTTTTCCTGCACAATTGGTAGGCATCTGACAACCTTACAGTATTCAGTTACAAAAAGGCACTTATAATACCTTCATAAACATTCTGCAACTTTTTGTTAGCAGAAAATGATTTTATTGATGATGTAACCATGACATATCCTCGATCAGGCTTCAACATAAGTTCCCTTTAGAAACAATACATTGTCTACTCTTAACTGCCTCATGCAGTAAACTATTCAGATATGAAAGAGAATCTTACCTTATCTTGAAGTTCTCTGATTACTTTAAAGTAGGCACTATAGTCTTGCTTAGTAATAGGGGAACTCTTTTCATACCACTCCCGGATCTGCTTTTCAAAAACAGAGTTTGAAGTTTCTAAGGAGCGCACCTTTTCCAGGTATGCGGCCAAACGGTCATTCAAATTCTGCATGGTAGTTTTTTCATTGCTTGTAAGCAGCAGCTCATTTATGGAACTGCTGCGTAACAAATTACTGCTAAGGGCATTGCTGTAGCTACTGCCAAAGGAAATTCGGGTGCCAGAGCCACCAGCTCCTCCATGGACACTGGGTGTTCGGTATTTTTTTATGGATGATAATCTAGAGATAGAACTGGGAATAGATGATCCACTGCTTTCGAAAAAGACATTTTTTAAGTTGACATTGCCAGATCGAGCCATTGGTAGTATGTATATATATTTAAAGAACAAAATATCTAAAGCACTTTTGCAGGAGAAAATGTTGCATAGGGCAGTTTTGGACCTTTTTATTTGGGTGTAAAAGGGAGGGTTGACAGGGCTGAACTCCGCCTTTTTTGATAACAATTAGGGGAAATTGGCACTGTTACTACTTTATTCCATCCTGTGGCTTGGCAATAAAAGACACATTAAATCAACCTTTGTGCTTCAGTCCAAAGTCCAGAGAAGATCAGTATTTCTTTGTGATTATTTCACTGTACAGTATTTGGCCATCCAGCCTGCCATAATTTGTGTAATGGGATCTCTCCCTCAGGACAAACTAAGGAAAATGTCAATAGGAAGGCTAAAGTTTATACTCATATCTCTATTTAAATAAAGTTTGCCTTGAATTCCTGCCTAGCTCCATCCTTAATTTTCACATAACATCCATAGGAGTAGAAGTAATGAATCTTCCGAATCTTCCGTAGTAGTGAATCCATCTTATTGGATGTAAGGCAATTGTCAGTAAGTAGAAGAAAGGTAAGTTGGGCAAAATACACTTTTCATGAGGATGAAAATTTGTGGATCATTGAAAAGCTCCATAATTAATCCAATTTGGTACAGTATTACCAATCTATTCACATTTACTGTATATAGGGAAAATGAACAAAAATGAGTAAATATGGTAACTAATATAAATTTCTCCCAGTTCCTAGAAAATATTTAAAAAGTATTGCCATGTCACCCCTAGTCCTTCTCTTCATTAAACTAGACATATCCAGTTCCAGCAACCGTTCCTTATATGTTTTAGCCTCCAGTCCCCTGATCATCTTTGTTGCTCTTCTCTGTACTCTTTCTAGAGTCTCAATATCTTTTTTATATCGTGGTGATCAAAACTGAATGCAGTATTCCAAATGTGGACTTACCAAGGCATTGTAAAGTGATATTAACACTTCACGTGATCTTGATTCCATCCCTCTGTTAATGCAGCCTAGCACTGTGTTGGCTTTTTTGGCAACTGCAGAACACTGCTGGCTCATATTTAACTGATTGTCCCACTAGGACTCCAAGATCCCTCTCATAGTTACTACTATTGAGCAAGGTACCACCTATCCTATATCTGTGCATTTGGTTTTTCTTGCCTAAATGTAGAACCTTACTTGTTTCACCATTGAATTTCATTTTGTTAAATAGCGCCCAGTGTTCAAGTCTGTCAAGATCCTTCTGTATCTTAAGCCTATCTTCTGGAGTGTTGGCTATTCCTGCCAGCTTGGTGTTGTCTGCAAATTTGATGAGTTCCCCATCTATCCCCTCATCCAAATAATTGATGAAGATGTTGAAGAGCACTGGGCCCAGAACAGAGCACTGGGGCACCCCACTACACACTTCCCTCCATGTAAATGCAGTTCCATTGAGGACCATATGCTCAGTATGGCCAGTCAGCCAGCTACGAATCCATCTGGTGGTGATGCTGTCTAACCCACATTTTTCTATCTTATCAAGTAGTAGGTTGTGGTCTACTTTATCAAATGCCTTACTGAAGTCCAAGTAAATTATATCCACAGCATTCCTCTGGTCCACTAATTTTGTCACCTGGTCAAAGAATGCAATAAGATTTGTCTGGCATGATCTGTTTTTGACAAACCCATGTTGGCTTTTGGTAATGACTTTGTTTGCCCCTAGGTGTTCATTGATTCATTACTTGATTATCTTTTCCAGAATCTTCTCAGATATTGAGGTCAGGCTGATAGGTCTGTTGTTTCCTGGATCTATTTTTTCCCTTTTTTGAAGACGGGAGCTACATCAGCTCTTTTCCAGTCCTCTGGTAGTTCCCCAGTACTCCAGGTTCTTTGAAAGATATAGTTCAGTGGTTCTGAGAATTTTATGGAACATCTACAGTGTTCCATAAAATTCTTCAGTTCCCAGAACAACTGCAGTGGGAAAAGAGGGATTAGTCAAAATCAGGGAATTCTTGTTCTATTGAAAAATTGCTTTTGGATGCAATTGTTCAAAGCATGATGGTGCAGTGGTTAGAATGCAGTATTGCAAGCTGACTCTGCCTACTACTGCCAGGAGTTCAATCCTGACCTGCTCAAGATTGACTCAGCCTCCCATCCTTTCGAGGTTGGTAAAATGAGTACCCAAACTCTATAAACCTCTTAGAGAGTTTTGTAAAGAACTGTGGAGTGGTATAGAAGTCTAAGTGCTACTGTTATTGTTAAATACTCCCTTTCTTTGCTTTTCTTTATGGCCACTGCCAGACTTGAGATTGATTGATTGTTATAAGGTAGGGACAGACCACGAAACTGACACACAGGAAGGCTAGAACTATACTTTATTGACACAGGCTATAGTAACAGAATCTTGCTAGTCTGCCTGCTATTTTCTCTTCCCTCTCTCTCATAGTCTAGGGCAGTATTTCTCAACCTCAGCAACTGTAAAAAATATGAACAATTCTCAGAATTCCCCATCTGACATGCTGTCCACATATCATAAAACATGCTGGCTGAGGAATTCTAGGCACTGAAGTCCACTCTTAAAAAGAGCTGAAAGGAAAATGTGAAGTATTGTCTGGAGAGCAGAAGTTGGATTTCATCCCTTCTACAGGTAGTCCTTGACTTACAACAGTTCATTTAGTGACTGTTTGAAGTTACAGTGGGCTGAAAAAACTTATGACAGTTCATGTGATCAAAATTTGGGCACTTGGTAACTGAGTCATATTTATGATGGTGACATTGTCCTGGGCTAATGAGATCACCTTTTGAGACCTTCTGACAACAAAGTCAACGGGGAAGCCTAATTCACTTAACAACTGTGTTACTAACTTAACAACTATGGTGATTCAATTAGCAACTGTAGCAAGAAAGGTCGTAAAATGGGGCAAAACTCACTTGACAAATATCTCACTTAGCAACAGAAATTTTGGGCTCAATTGTGGTCGTAAGTTGAGGACTACCTGTACTTATCCAGGTGGTCACCAGGAGTCAAGACTAGCTAGAAGACACATACACATTCTCATTAAATATTAATCATTGAGCTTTTGATTTGTGTCTGTTAATTTAACTAAGATTGAAGAGAATGGGAGATTGTATTTGCGTGCCATTGCTAAGTACTGTGTTAAAAGAGGAACCAAAATGTATTTTCAATGGGGATTTACAATGATCATATATCAAGCGGTGGCATCTTATCTCCACTAATCTGTTTTATGCAGGTCTTTCCCCATTCTGAACTAAAGTGCTGTCCCCCATCTTCAGGTTGGTGGAAAAATTTACTTGCAGCAAATTTGTGGTCATTATTGCCAATCTGTATCTTTAAGCATTGGTTCTCTTTTGGCTTGTTGCTGCATGATGCTGTCTTGATTCTGAATGTGAAGAATATATTAAGTAAAATGAGTGGTGAAACTTTCGGGCTTTACTGCCTTTTTGTGTTCTGAATGCCACCTACTAGAATGAAATAATCTGCCAGTCAGAATAGTGATACCAGCTTGGGGAGATACCAAGTTTTGAAAGATGGCTAACTCTTCTTCCCTGCTTTACAATTTACATCAAAAGAGGAGACCTGTCAAGAAGTACTCATTCAAGCCAGAGAGTCAACTCTCTCAGGCCCCAGCTGCTAAATGTTCACTCAGTCATTTGGCAAGCTGGGAAAAGTGTATGTAAACTGGGAACTCCTCTCCTGCTTTAATTATCAACTCCCTAGACTGTTAAACAGCTGCTTAATAGCCCATGGAAAATCCAGGTAGAACTGAACTAGCAGCTGGCCCAGCTCTTCTTCTTTCTCCATGAGGGGAGGATGGGAAGAATAGTATCTGAGGAAAATGTCCAGGACTGGAGAAGAAGGGTGTGCCTGCAATAGTCCATATGTGCCAAGAGGTGCTAGGCTGTTCCCATCCCTTATGGATCACCTGTCAAAGCCACCAATGGAAGTCAAGAAAGCTTTTACATGCCATGGTGTGAGAGATTGTGGGCAGAGATTGTCAGCCCTAAACAAACAGAAGGTGTGGAAAGAGTTCGTGAATAATTAGCAGCTAGTTCCATAAAAAAAAAAAAGCACAGGGAAAAAAAGATTCAGAAAGAAAAACCCTCCCTTAGTAAACTTACTAATAAAAGATAGCAGGCAGATCCTATGGCATTTTCCAAGATTCTGTACTTCACACCCACCCAGGCAAGAAAATATTTCATTGTAGTTTGTAGAAATTTGATTGTGCTCTATGATGAATGGATTTACGCATGGGATATCGCCAGTGGTGGGATTCAAATATGTGAACAACCAGTTCTCTGTGTAGATGCCACTTCCAGAAGTCCATTCTGGGCCTGGGCAACAAAAAATTAGTTACTGGTTCTGCCGAACTGGTGTGAACTGGCTGAATCCCACCACTGGATATTGCCCATTTAAAGGGGAAAACACTATTTTAAAATTGGTACAGAAGTTGACTTAAACTTATTTGAAATGTTGATGGCAGATGAAATGAAAAGAAGTTTCAAGTGCATTAAGCAGATACGTAGTGTGCCTGAGCATCTGTGTGTTGTGGTTAAAGCTCCTCCTCCTCCTCCTCCTCCTCCTCCTTTAAATTTAGTCATTCACCAGTTCATTTTTTTCAGCAAAAAAAATGGTAATTTCTTCTGCAAATGCAAATATTTTTTATTTGTACGCTTTATTTTTCATGCTCCTTTGGTACATTCTGCCTATAATGTATGACTGGGTAGAATTGTCATGCTCCAGGTCCCATGGACTAAACAGCATCACCTCAGAAGTAGGCCTTTTCTATTGCA